AAAAAAAAAAAAAAAAAAAAAAAAAAAAAAAAGAAAGGCAAGGCAGGTATGAATCCCAGTTTAACTAAAGACAAAATAAATACCCAGAGTGATTGAGTGATCTGCCCAGGTTAGTAAAACCACAGAACCAGGGCATGAGAATAGGTCTTCTGATTTCTATTTTTTTTTTTTTGAGACAGAGTCTTGCTCCGTTGCCCAGGCTAGAGTGTAATGGCTCGATCTCAGCTCACTACAACTTCCACCTTCCAGGTTGAAGTGATTCTCCTGCCTCAGCCTCCCGAGTAGCTGGGATTACAGGTGTGTGCCACCATGCCTGGCTACTTTTTGTATTTTTTTGAGTAGAGACGGGGTTTCACCATGTTGGCCAGGCTGGTCTCAAACTCCTGACCTCAGAGATCTGCCTGCCTCGGCCTCCCAAAGTGCTGGGGTCATAGGCATGAGCTACCATGCCTGGCCAGTCTTCTGATTTCTGATCTATTTATAGCAAGCTGCCTCATCACTGTCAAACATTTATCAACAGATATTGATCTATTAGTAATCTTTTTAAAAGTAGTAAGATGCACCATTTTTGTTAGAGGAATAGAAAGGTAACTACACACAACTTCTGAGGATGGAAGCTTCTGTGTGTGTGTGTGAATGTGTGTGTGTTTAAGACTCTAGAGAACTGGGGAATACCCAAGGGATTCTTAACACACTAAGCATACCGCTGATACTAATGTTAGTGTTATCATCATTTCTATATTTCATTTGAAGAAGGAATGACATAAACATTCTAATCAGGAACAAAACAAAAGCTCCCCAGTGATGCCTATTCACCCATTTGGGAAGGAAAATTACATGCTAAACAAAATATTCAGAACAAGATAACGCTAGCCTACCTTAAGAAACTCCTTCAGGAGAATTTCAGAACTTTCTTCAAACTCTTCTTGAATTTGAACTTGGTAATCCATGTCCAGATAAGTAGGGTTGATCCAATCATACAAAATCTCATGCTTACGAAGAGGCGGCAGATGCAAAATGTGAGTTAATAATTCCTATTGCTTTTGCTCTTACATCATTTCACACTAATAAAATATAGGCAAATCCTTACTTTATAAGTTTTTCCTATTAAACATAACATACTGGAAAACTCTGCTTGAGAAAGACACTATCAAAAGTTTATTTAAGAAAAGGGAAGGCCGGGCTCAATGGCTCACACCTGTAATCTCAGCACTTTGGAAGACCACGGTGGATGGATCATTTGAGGTCAGGGGTTCGAGACCAGCCTGGCCAACGTGGTGGAACTCTATCTCTACTGAAAAATACAAAATTAGCCAGGCATGGTGGCAAGCACCTGTAATCCCAGCTACCCAGGAGGCTGAGGCAGGAGAATCCAGGAGGTGGAGGTTGTAGTGAGCCAAGATTGCACCACTGTACTCCAGCCTGGGCAACGGAGCAAGACTCTGTCTCAGAAAAAGGAAAGTGGAAAGGGGCAAGCTCAAGCTCAAAGTCCGGTTTCATTAATAGAAACAGTTAACTTTAAAATCGGAGAAATAAACGATATGCTATAGTTCCTAAGATAAGGATATCAGCAATTCTTACATCTTGTGGGATGTGAGGGCTCCTAGGTATGAGGGGTTCAAAGTAGTTGGGAGGCCTAGTCAACGATGGACCATGAAACCAGCCACTTATAGACAAACGTGACTTTTCTTCAGACAGGACTTCAGACACCTGAAAGGAAAAGCCCAGCAGCACATCAACACGAAGAGTAAGGGGGATTACCAGCCAATGAATGCTAATTTCAGGGTCCCCCATGCTAAGTATTAAAACAACATCAGATAACAAGTCGACGGAGCTGTCATGTTTGGATAATGGGTGATTAAAAAGCATAATCCTTGGTACTCTATTTGTTGTTTACAATCTTTACCTGGTGAAAGGACACTGGAGATACTTCAAAGAAAACCAGTTTGTTCCACGAAGGGATAAGAGACTTGACAATCTGTTTCGGCTGAAAGTGTTCTGCACCAGGAGAGAACACATCCATAAATGTGGTTCACTGTCATTAACCACTGCCAGGCTGCCTCATTTTACTCTTGACAGTCTCATTTCTGAGGGCATCTAGATGTGCTCTTCAGACCCTGAAATACCACCCTTCTATCTGTTTCACTCAGACTTGTGAGTTTGACTAAAGGGCATCTGTTCTTACTACACCATCCGTCTATTATTGAGAAGGGCCTGAATAAGTTCTCAAAGCTTCCTGGAGTCAACTTCTGGTGCTAGATATTCAAAAAAACCTTGACTTTCTGTCAAATGGACTGGTCCTGGAAGATTCATAGCCACACACAGCTTTATATGCACTCTACCCTTCCACAGTCAGTATTCAGAAGCTAGGTCTGACTATTTCTCATCTTAAACAGATTCTAATTTATCACTGGAGTAATTTTTAAGTACAAGTTAAAGAGGTGGCTGTCAGGGCTGGCATTTATTCCTCTTGAGGTAGTCACTCAAGAGGAACAAATGAGGAATGAAGACATTGTATATATGAACATGATACTAAATCAACTCAGCTTTACCTCAGAAGTGGCCACTGGTGGTGAAGTGCATGCACTTGTACTTGTCTTACCATCAATGCTGTACAGGTCCAGGGTACCCCCCAGGCTCCTGTCCCAGGGAGGAACCAGGTACAGGATGAAGGCGATACGGCGCCCTTCCAGCTCATCATCATGGCACAGCAGGGCATCTGCAATAGTTTAATGTATACCTTAGATCTCTGCAGATAGTGACCAGCTGACATCTGACTCTACATTTAATATCAGTCCATTTGACATTCACCTGTAATGTCAGCTCCAGCTTTAAATGTCCTCCAGCTTTAAAATGAACCTTATTTCTCCTCTTTTATAAGTAAACAAGTAAGTCAATATAGATAACTCTAAAAACGCTAAAGAGCACATAATTAGATCCAGAGATAATCACTGGATCTAATCCAGTGATTTTGCATATAATCTTCCAGTATTTTTCCTATATATATGTATTGACTTTGAAACAAAATGGCATCTGACAGTGGCTATTTGTGGCCTGCTTTTTAAATTACATGGCAAGTATCTTTCCCTATCAATATATACACTTGGCATCACTTTTAATGGCTGCAGCTATGCTACTATATAGATTATGACCTTACCTCCTTCCCCCTTTAATAGATTTCCTATTTGTTAATTGTTTCCATTTCTTGGTCATTATAAAGACTAATGAAATGAACATTATTGTACATGGATCTTTTTGTACTTGTTCCCATTAGTTTCTTGAGGTGAACTTCTAAAAGCCATGTCGTGGGGCTAGCAAGATAGGCATCTGTGCAGGCTGAGAGGGAGGAAAGGCTACGGTGAACTGCAACCAATTATACATGGAGGGATCGTTTCAATAAATAAATATATTGAAGATAATGGGAGACTTCTCACCGTTCAAGAAGGGAGTTACAAATATGGAAAAGCAGAAATCTAGAATGAAACCTGTGGTGTTCAACTGGAACTAGAAGAATCTATGTGAATTCAGTTTCTCATGTGTGTGTGTGTGTGTGTGTGTGTGTAAAAATACAGGCTGGGCATGGTGGCTCATGCCTGTGATCCCAGCACTTTGGGAAGCCGAGGCAGGCAGATCACCTGAAGTCAGGAGTTGGAGACCAGCCTGGCCAACATGGCAAAATCCCATCTCTACTAAAAATACAAAAATTAGCAGGGCATGGTGGTGCACACCTGTAATCCTAGCTACTCAGGAGTCTGAGGTAGGAGAATGATTTGAACCCAGGAGGCAGAGGTTACGGTAAGCTAAGATCAAACCACTGTATTCCAGCCTGGGTGACAGAGAGAGACTCAGTCTGAAAATATATATATATTCTAAATATAAATGTACATGTGGGCATCTGTGTGTGTGTATGTACATGTATACAGCTATTCACCATCTCTTTACACTGAAAGGGTCTGGGAGCAGTGACACTCTAATAGCAAAGACACTTAAGAGTCCAGATCTTGATTGTTAAGCATCATTCTTCACTAAAACGAACCAGGGTTCTTTGGAAGAATGGCCAACTCCAGGTCATTTTAGGACCCTGGCATCGAAAATACAAGATAAACATGGAAAATCTTATTTTGCAGAAAGTAAGACAAAAAAAAGAATGATAGGGACATAGCAAAAGGACACAGAAGTCAGTTTGAAAGAGCTCTCCTTGGTCAAATCAGGGACAATATCAGCATCAGTATAATGATAGTAACTGATAACAGCTCATTACACAAATAGCAATCCATAAATCCATACCAATATAAACAAATGAATGAACAAGTAAATCGGGAGAAAAGTCTTGTCTAGAGTAGAATGACAGTAACTGTAGAGAGATGATTGTGTTGTAAAATCAGCATCTGGCAGCCTTCATGGTAATAATTTAGTAAGAAACATCAGAAAATGCTAAAATAAGCGAATCAAAGTTTGATGAGAAATGGGATATTTACATAATCTTAAAGTATCTCCCCATAAAATACAGACTGACAGGGAACAAGAATAGTGGAGAAACCTGATGTCAGCTACCACGTTAATCAAGTGATCAAAGTTAATATCACTAATAATAATGTGACACATTGAAACCATGCACCACCTGATACAGTGAAAAGAACACAGTATTCTGTAATCCTGCCAAAAATATATGGCCTAAATCTAATAATGAGAAAACATCAGACCATCCCAAACTATGGAAAGTTTTCCAAAATAACTCATCTGTTCATCTTCATAAAGATCATGAAAGTCCAGGAAACATGGAGGGGCTATTCTAGATTGAGGGAGGTTGAAGAGACAATATTATAACTAAATGCAACATGCAATCCTGACTGGATCTTTTTGCTATAAAGGACCAAATAATGAAACCTGAAGGGAGTCTGGGACTTAGATAATCCATTGATGTGGAATAATGCATCAATATGACTCTCCTGATTCTAATGGTTCATGACTATCATGTAGGAGAATGTCCTTGTAGAAATTACTGAAGTATTCAGGGGTCATAGAACATCATACCAACAATCAACTCTCAAGTAAAACTGGAAAAAATAAATTATTGGTACTATGTTTGCCAATTTTCTGCAAGTTTGAAATTACTTCAAAGTAAAAAGAAAAGATACTGGCTGGGCATGATGGCTCACACCTGTAATCCCAGCCTTTTGGGAGGGCGAGGCAGGTGGATCACTTGAGGTCAGAAGTTCAAGACCAACCAGGCCAACTGGTGAAACCCCACGTCTACTAAAAACACAAGAATTAGCCGGGGGTCATGGCACATGCCTGTAATCTCAGCTACTCAGGAGGCTGAGGCAGGAGAACTGCTTGAACCCAGGAGGCAGAGGTTGCTGTGGGCCAAGATAGTGCCACTGTACTCCAGCCTGGATGACAGAGAGACTCTGTCTCAAATAAACAAACAAAAGAAAGAGTATATGATGGTAAACGAAGATATACCATATGGCCTTTCCTGTGTATCACCAAGTCATCCTCTAAAAGTTGTGAGCAATCTATACTTCCAGGACAGTGTATGAGAGCACACTCAAATAATTATTTAGTAAAATTTAAAAAAGAAAACTCTTTTCCTTCTAGGTAAAAAATCAAGCATGTACCCAAAAAACCATTTATGTGCTGAAAAGGAAATGGAGGAATGTACCCCAAAGTGGTGACGAGAAGAGGAGGCAGGGAGAAGGTGAAGAAAGCTATCATGGTTTACACCATATACTTGCAATATTGTTTTTTTTTTTTTTTTTCCTTTAAGAATATATTCACTTGGCTGGGTGCAGTGGCTCATGCTTTTAATCCCAGCACTTTGGAAGGCCAAGATGGGTGGAACACAAGGTTAGGAGATCAAGGTCATCTTGGCTAACATGGTGAAACCCTATCTCTACTAAAAATACAAAAATTAGCCATGTGTGATGGCGCACGCCTGTAGTCTCAGCTACATGGGGGGTTGAGACAGGAGAATTGCTTGAACCTGGGAGGCAGAGGTTGCAGTGAGCCGAGATCATGCCACTGCACTCCATACTGGGAGACAGAGTGAGACTCTGACCAAAAAAAAAAAAAAAAAAAAAAAAAAAAAGGTTGGGTGCAGTGGCTCATGCCTGTAATCCCAGCACTTTGGGAGGCCGAGGCGGGCGGATTATCTGATGTTGGGAGTTTGAGACCAGCCTGACTAAAATGGAGAAACCCCATCTCTACTAAAAATAGAAAAAATTAGTTGGGTGTGCTGGTGCATGCCTGTAATACCAGCTACTCAGGAGGCTGAGGTAGGAGAATCGCTTGAACCTGGGAGGTGGAGGTTGCATAACCCGAGATCACGCCATTGCACTCCAGCCTGGGCAACAAGAGCGAGACTCTATCTCAAAAAAAAGAAAAAAAAAAAATATGTATTCACTTATTGACTTCAAAATAAAAAAGAAAAGGGAAAATGGCATTGAAGGAGATGGTTGTTCCTTAGGAAGTCTAAGAATATAAAGTTTATATATCACTCTGAATTTCTTGATAATTGTATGCACAGTTGGTACGTATGTGGATTATAGGCATTTTGCTGAAAATACGGTCAGTAGCTTTCATCATATTCTGAAAGACAACCAACCACTGCTTATGCCTTCTTATAAGGTGGGTATTTCTGTCTGTGAACTGTGTCTTTATCAGGAAGATCCGGATGCTTTGCAGGGACATTCAGTCGAGTGTTTTGGTACACAGATACCATCTCTCCATTACTGTTGAGTTAAAGCCTTTAAATCTTATAGACATCAGACCTTTATCTTCCTTACCAGTGAATTCATATTTAGCACAGGACATGTCAATTGTTGGTTCCAGGTCAATTTTAGAAATATCAGAAAGCCAGGACCGGAAATCTTCAAACAGAATTTTCCTAGAAATGTAAACAAAAGAAAACCTGTTATGCTGCGACAGTGTGGGCCCTATTTGGATCTAGGTCACAACTTTTCTTTCCTGGAGATCACATTTTATTCAAGAGATACATTCTTAGATCTCATTTGAGACATTCTGAGAAATGTTTCTCAATTCAAATTTGCATAGCTTAAGTCTAATGTTCCCAGAAAAATTAATGTAAATCCCCTATCTACTGTGGCTTATTTGTTTTAATGGTTCATGTTTTCTCAGTATTTTTTTCCTCCTAAATTTAAAGTATGCCCTATCATGGCGGCAGTGACGAAGGCCAAAGCCTTTGTCATAACAACTCATCACACCAATGTTCTAGTCCAAGTTACTGATTTTCAGACAAGTTTTTCAGCACTAAAATGGAAAGCTCAACTTTCTTTTGCTCTCTTTTTTTTTTTTTTTTTTTTTTTGAGATAGAGTCTTGCCCTGTTGTCCAGGCTGGAGTGCAGTGGCACGATCTCAGCTCACTGCAACCTCTACCTCTGTGTTCAAGTGATTCTCCTGCCTCAGCCTCCTGAGTAGCTGGGATTACAGGCATGCACCACCATGTCTGGCTAATTTTTATATTTTTAGTAGAGATGGGGTTTTTCTATGTTGGCCAGGCTGGTCTCCAACTCCCGACCTCAAGTGATCCGCCCACCTCGGCCTCCCAACATGCTGGGATTACAGGTGCGAGCCACCGTACCCAGCTTCAACTGTTTTTCTTTACACACTTTACTTTACTTCCAATGCCAAATATGTGGGCTTTTCCCCACACACTGACCAATTCTCTGACACCAGCTGAGTGTCTTAAAAGTCAATTCAATTCTGACACTATCTACCAGGGGTTAATACAGGTTAAGGGCTTAGTCCCACGAGATTGCCCCCAGTGTGACCTCTCCTCTATCCCCCACCCGCGCCGTTTCGGATACTAATTACAAGTCCAAGTTGTGACCTATATGCTTCTAACCAAATAGTTATAAACCAGAGGTTCACACTACTGCCTCCTCGGGTTTGATAATTTGCTAGAATAGCTCACAGAACTCAGAAGAAGTTTGTTTACTAGATTACTCATTTATTATAAAAGGATACAACTCAGAAATAGCCAGATGGAAGGGATGAATAGGGTGAGATATGAGGAAGGGGTATGGAGCTTCCACACCATGGTCCTCCCCAGTTATACCACCTTCCCAGTTCCTCCATGGGTTCAGCAATTCTAAACTCCTTTGGTTAGGGTATCTGATGGAGGTTTCATTATGAAGGAATAATTGATTAAGTGATTGGCTATCGGTGATTAACTCAACCTCCAGCCCCTCTTCCCTTGCAGGATGTCAGAGAGGTCTGTGCCAGGAATAGAGACCAAGACCAAACATATATTTATTATAAATCACAAGCATTAATACTAGTGCCACCATTTAATGAACACTTAGGTGGCACTGTTTAGAAGATTAAAACAGCTTTAAATGGCAAGAATGGTGAGTGTTGAATTAAATGCATAATAATGAGTAAAATCCTTCATAGAAGTTCTGATGCTAACAGGATACCAATAGGAGATGGTGAACATTTCCATTTTTTCTTTTTTTTTTTTTTTTTTTTGAGACAGAGTTTCACTCTTGTTGCCCAGGCTGGAGTGCAATGGCGTGATCTCGGCTCACCGCAACCTCCGCCTCCTGGGTTCAGGCAATTCTCCTGCCTCAGCCTCCTGAGTAGCTGGGATTACAGGCACGCGCCACCATGCCCAGCTGATTTTTTGTAGTTTTAGTAGAGACGGGGTTTCACCATGTTGACCAGGATGGTCTCGATCTCTTGACCTTGTGATCCACCCGCCTTGGCCTCCCAAAGTGCTGGGATTACAGGCGTGAGCCACCGCGACCGGCCAACATTTCCATTTGTCAGCTAAACTGGCTCTCTACGTAGAAATCTCTTGAACACAATTTATAACTCATTCAGCCAATCAACTTTGAAATTATGAATTATTAACCTCAAGGAATTAAAAACATTTTTAAAAGATTTACATTAGTTCAAATTACACTTACAAAGATACTTAATATTTTTTGGATCATCCTACTCCAAATGCACTTAACTGAAATTACTATAAAATACAACTGTCCTTTTTATAACTAAATATCAAATCTCCATGTTGATCTCCAAGATTTCATTACCAAATACCTTTTTATATTATATACTACCCAAACAAAAAAAATTCCATTATTAGCTGTGAACAAGCTTAAAAAAAATTCCATAAAATAATTGTGCTCAGTCAGTCCATCCAGAGGTGCCATGTTAACTTTTAAAGGCAGAGTTGCAAATTACATAGAATGGATCAGGATAGCAAACTGCTGAACCAGGCTTCAGATAATGTGAGTGATAAATATTTCTTCAAACTCTTGATACTCTAAGCAATTAATAGTCTTAAATCCTTTACTTGTAACATCAGCTTCCACGAATTCCAGAAAAAGCTCTTCTACTCATTCTATGAAAGTGTCACAAGGACAGGCTTATTTTCTGTCATTGTTAGCACTTGTTAATTGTATTCATGAAGGAACTCACAGAACCCAAGTAGGAAATAAAAAGATCAGCTTTCTGTAATGATTAAGGAATTGCGGCTAGCTGACCATCTAGCTGTAAGCCTTTGGTGTGGAATGTAACTCAGTCCCACATGAAATGCTTAGCAGAGGGGTGTTGTGAACTAAGGAGATAATGCCTTAATGCATGATAATCTGTCTTTAGGGGGATAAAAGTCTAAGTAAATGTGAAACATAATGTGTTACAGTTAACACACAAGCAATAGTTCAGGATTTAGAAGAAAGAAACTGTGTAGGCTGCCTATCATACATGGAAGTGTTGCAGAGAAAAAATAGGATGAGAATAAATAATTTATGCCACATAGATGAAAAACAGCTATTACAAAGCAACATGTACTCATTACAAAAAAACTAGGAAAAAATACCATGTAAGTAAAAAACTGTTAAATCTGTATTCCTACTAGCAAGAGTTAAATACTCTATTTTTCCAAATCTTTATCATTGTACACCCAAATGTAAATGTGTGTATCTCTTTTTAAAATAAGATAACATGACGTGAATCTACTGGTCAGAAAAAAACAACGAACCATCAAATTGCGTGTACCGTTTATTTTTTTCTCTTTACAAAAATGTATATCATTATTTTATATATCACGAAGAAAAAAATGCTGTCACTTAAAGTAGGACACAAAAGTGATTGTGTGGGACACTAGATCTCAGAGCGGTGGCTCATGCCTGTAATCTCAGCACTTTGGGAGGCCGAGGCAGGTGGATCACGAGGTCAGGAGTTCAGGACCAGCCTGGCCAACATAGTGAAACCCTATCTCTACTAAAAATACAAAAATTAGACAGGCATGCCGTCATGTGCCTGCAGTCTCAGCTACTCGGGAAGTTGAGGCAGGAGAACTGCTTGAACCCAGGAGGCGGAGGTTGTGGTGAGCCGAGACTGCACCACTGCACTCCCGCAACAGAGTGAGACTCTGTCTCAAAAAAAAAAGTTAAAAGTTTCTTAGAGTTGAGAAAATAGATAATGAAAATATTCATGTGTCAAAATTCATATATATCATATTTAATCATTACACAGTTTCCACTTTTTGTTTTGTACTATTAGGTTTAAATCTCCACGGGCCATTAAATTTGTATATACTTTTTCAATATTATAAACAATACTACAATAAATAATCTTGTATGGAATCTTTGAGCATATCCTTATTTTCTCAGGATAAATTCTCATAAGTGAAACTATTCCACAAAAAGATATGCATATTTTTGGCTGGGCATGGTGGCTCACCCATATTACGTAATCCTTGCACTTTGGGAGGCCAAGGCGGGTGGATCACGAGGTCAAGAGATCGAGACCATCCTGGTCAACATGGTGAAACCATCTTCTAAGAAAGACTGCAGCAGTGTATAAAGGTATCTATAAGGCCGGGCATGGTGGCTCAAGCCTGTAATCCCAGCACTTTGGGAGGCCAAGGCGGGTGGATCACGAGGTCAAGAGATCGAGACCATCCTGGTCAACATGGTGAAACCCCATCTCTACTAGAAATACAAAAAACATTAGCTGGGCATGGTGGCGCGTGCCCGTAATCCCAGCTACTCAGGAGGTTGAGGCAGGAGAACTGCCTGAACCCAGTAGGCGGAGGTTGCGGTGAGCCGAGATCGCGCCATTGCACTCCAGCCTGGGTAACAAGAGCGAAACTCCGTCTCAAAAAAAAAAAAAAAGGTATCTATAACTGATCTATACCTGTCAACACTAGGGTTTTTGTTTTTAATATTTACCAACCTAACGTGTGAAAAATGCTATCTCCAGTGTTAACTTCTGTTTCCTTGATAACTAACAAGGCTGAACATTTTATCACTGAGAACTTGGGCCTTGGAATGAGACGGACTTAATTTTAAGCTATGCAAACTTAATTTCTCAGTCTCTTTTCTCCTCTACAAAGTGGGTTAACGATGTCAACAAGGATTATATAACATACACAACCTTGTAACATTTAAAGCACTTACTACTCTGCCTGACATGTTAGGTACACAACAAATATGATTACTTGTTTACCTTAAAGCAGATATGTGGGGCTCTCTTCTCTTCCTCAAATCATCAGACTGGAACATGAAAAGAGAGGAAAAAAAAAGGGATTTCCTTCACATAAGAAACACACAAAGGAAAGCAGTTTAGTGAGCGTTCTGGTCCTAACATTGACATGAAGAGCCCAGACTCCGAAGCCAGGCTGCTTAAGTTTATTATAGGTCCCTTCCATTGGATGGCTCTGTGACTTGGCAAGTTATTACCCTCTGTGCTGTACTCATTGAACAAATACTTAAGTCGTTATCATAGTCTAGTTCCTATGCCTGTTAAGGGAGACAGACAACAGACACAAAAAGCAGATTAGTATAAAGATGGTGAGTGCACAAGGGGAAAAAAAAAAACCCAGGAAAATAAGGATGGGGAGTGCTGAGCCTGGGGAGTGGTTTGCAATTATAATCAGGTCGGCTAAGGTAGACTTCAAGGGGGTGAAACAAAGACTTGAAGGAGGCTGGGAAGTGTGGCAAGGGAATATCAAGGCACAGAGCATTCAAGGCCCTGGGCATGAAGCATGCCTGGCCTATTCAAGCTACTGCAAGAGCAGAGGGAGAGGGAGGGCAGTAGGAGACTTAGTGCCATTGGAAGTACTTTGGCTTTGACTCAAAGAAATGAGAAGCTTCACCTAATTATATCTAAGCAAAAAAAAAAAAAAAAAAAGTCATTGGAGTTTTTGAGAAATAACATTCTTTAAAGATAATATCCACATAACACATAATATCTACATAATTTCAAGTGATTAAATTGACCATTTAACCACTTGAAGGTGTGTAATTCAGTGGATTTTAGTATATTGACATTGTTGGGCAATCATTAGCACCACCTAATTTCAGAACTTTTTTTTTTTTTTAAGATGGGGTTTCACCATGTTGGTCAGGCCGGTCTTGAACTCCCAACCTCAGGTGATCCGCCCACCTTGGCCTCCAAAGTGCTTGGATTACAGGCGTGAGCCACCACGCCCGGCCTAATTTCAAAACTTTTTAACACTCCAAAAAGATACCTTTGTGCCCATTTAGGTAGTCATTCCCTATTCTCTCCTCCCTCCAGCCCCTGGTAACCACCTGCCTATTCTGGACATTACACATAAATGGAATCATACAATACGTAGCCTTTTGCATCTGACTTCTTTCACTTAGCATAATGTTTTCAAGGTTCATCCATGTTGTAGCAGTATCAGTATGTCATTCCTTCTAATGGCTAAATTATTCCATTCTATGGGTATACCACATTTTGTTTATTCACAGTTGAATCGTTTCCACTTTTTGGCCATTATACATAAAACTGCTACAAACATTTGTGTAGAAGTTTTTATGTGAACATGTTTTTAATTATCTTGGGTCCATTTACATTTTAAAATAACACAATGACTTAAGTGACTGTGTGAGCAGGCGACGATAGAAGGGAAAATGGTTGATACACAAATAGAGTAATCCTGGTGAGACACAGGTTGCTTGAACCAGGGGTTGGCCTTTGGCAGCAGAAGCAGTAAGAAGTGGGCTTCTCTGGATACACAGCGGTGTGCCACTCACATTCTGAGAAATTTGTTGTTAGGTAATTTCAATGTTGTTCCAACATCATAGAGTGCATTTACATAAATCTAGATGGTATAACTTACTATACATCTAGACTATATGGTATAGCCTATTGTTCCCAAGCTACAAACAAGCTGGCATGTTACTCTATTGAATACTATAGGCAAGAAAATAGAAGTATTTGTGTACCTAAACATATCTAAGTATAGAAAAGGTACAATAAAAATAGGTATTACTTTATGGGATCACTACTGTATCCACTGCTGACAGAAAATGTCATGTGGTGACTGTATTTTCAAGGTAGAAATAGCAGAGTTTCATGACAGACTGGAAGGTAGAGATAGCAGAGTTTCCCGATGGACTGGAAATAAGGTGAAAGAGGAATCAAGGATGACCTCCTTTTTGGCCTGAGCCCTGGGAAAGATCAAGCTACTATTAACTGTGATGGGGAAAACTGCAGGTGGAGCAGAGTTAGAGGGAGAAGGCCAGAAGTTTAATTTTGAACTTAAGTGTTAGACACTTATTAGACATCCAAGAGGAGGAAAAGCCGTGAGACCCATAGACATCTATGTACCTAGGGAAGGAGTCCAAGCATTAGGATGCAGAGTATTCTACCATTAAGAAGTCAGGTGGAAGAGGAAGACTTAGCAAAGGAAGCTAAGAAGAAATGGCCACTGAGGAAGAACAGAAACCAAGAGACCATGAAAATAAAGCAAAAAAAAAAATGTCTCCAGGAGGAAATAGTGATATAGTAGGTCAAATGCTGCTGATGAGCTAAGGAAGGACTGGAAACTGATTATCAGATTCAGTAATGTGGAGGTTATCAGTGACCTTGACGAGTATAGTTTCGGTGCAGTAGCAGAAGCAAAAGCCTGATTAAAATGGGCTTACCAGAGACTCACAGGAGAGGAATTTGACACAGTGCAGACAAGTCTTATAAGAAATTCTGCTGAGAAGAGAAGCACAGCAATGGGGTGGTAGCTGAAGAGAAAATTTGGTCAAGAACTTTATTTTTTCTTATGATAAGAAGAACTAACAGCTTCTTTTCTTTTTGGTATGCTGAAGGGAATTATCCAGAGAGAAACAAAAACTGATATAGTTTCCTCAACTGTAAAACAGGTATAATACTGGACCTCTTTCATGGGATTGTTTTGAGGATTTAATGACTAAATATAAAGCACTTAGCATGGCATAAAGTACGCATTCAATCATGCTTGCTTTAAAAAATACTGAATACAAAATATTGGGCAACTCCTAATGACAAAGCTGATTATGAAGTTGGAAGGTGTCAGTGACCCAATTATCAAGTCAATTCATACCACAAGCAAAGAAAAGGGTATGGATGAGGATTAAAGGGGCAGGAGAATGAAACCAGGTTTTATATCTACTGTCTTAGGGTGAAGAGTTCCTGTCCAAAACGGTTAACAGTAAAAAGTATTCACAGTAGAGTTTTACCAAACTTCCATGTGGATCCAAAGTAATGGGTGCTCCTTTTTTTTTTAAGTCACCCAAAGCTCTTTTTATTATTTTGCCTTTTATCTTCCAGTATTTTTAATCTTCCAAATTGCATTAAGTAAAAATCATTCTGATGTTTGAATTTAGTAATCAGAAGCATATGGCCCTAAATTAACAAGAGGCCAAGTATGTGATAATCACAATGGCAGGCAACTGTGGTTTTTAATTAACCTGTGCAACCTTACCATGGAAAAATGTTTAGTTTTTGGCTTTCTGAATTATTAAGAGTCATATGTTTCATGTATTTATCCTGGTTAATTCAGTCATGTGTATAAGGCCCAAAGACAGAAGATTTGGGGAAGGTCAGGATACATCCATTGGATCAATCAGCTCTAATGTAAAAGAATAAGAAAATCTCTTATTTACTGTCTTATCCCAAATAAAATAAAATGGGAAAATGCAAAAACAAAAAACAAAATTAATCTTCATCTTTTTTTTTTAAGCACAGATGTCCCTGAGGTTTTCAGGAATTTCTAAGAGTGATATCCTACATGTACTAAAAGATATACCCCCAAACTGAGGAAACCAATGACCTGTATTTCTGTACCTAGACTGAGATGTGTCTTCCAGAGTAGAAAAATCAACCTTTAAAAAAAAAAAAGAGATAGTCTTTTCTGCCCAATTAAACTGTCCACCAAACTCTTTGTCCTATTGCAATGTAGAGCATATTGTAATACATCAAGTCACCTGAAACAGGCATAAACTGAAAATTTTATTTGAGATGGAATTTTGCTCTTGTCACCCAGGCTGGAGTGCAATGGTGTGATCTCTGCTCACTCCAACTTCCACCTCCTGGGTTCAAGTGATTCTCCTGCCTCAGCCTCCCAAGTAGCTGGGATTACAGGTGAGTGTCACCACACCCAGAAAAGTTTTGTATTTTTAGTAGAGAAGGGGTTTTACCATGTTGACCAGGCTGGTCTTGAACTCCTGACCTCGGGTGATTCACTCGCCTTGGCCTCCCAAAGTGCTGACATTACAGGCATGAGCCACCGTGCCCAGCCTGAACTCAAAATTTTAAATGGTAATTATCTCCCAATGCACAACTCTCTTCATGATACCACTTACCCACACGTACTTAACCCCTTTGTTTATAACATACTTCCTCCTCGGCTTAATCTGTTTCTTCACTATCTCTGTAACCATCACTTTCACCCTATTATTATTTCTGGCCTGAGCAACTGGAAAGATCAAGTTGCTTTTAACTGTGATAGGGAACACTGAAGGTGGAGCAAATTTAGAGAAGACCAGGAGTTTAGCTTTGAATTTAAGTGTCAGACACTTACAAGGTATCGAAGAGGAGGCAAAGCCATGAAACCCACAGAAATCTGTATACCTAGGGAAGACATTATCACTCTCCCCATTCCTGCAGATGAAGAAACTGAGAAGTCTTTGAGAGTACAGAGCTTGCACTTTAAACACCAGATTTTAAGTACAGAGCAGGCATGGTCTAAGGCTTCCATATAATAATTATAGCCCTTAACACATAGTTCACACTCAGTAAGCTGGGTTAAATGAAAGCATGCTCTTAACAATGTCAGCAAGGACCCTTCAAGGCAAACCCATCCTAAAACCTCAAGTCTAAAGGTATTGAATGATTTTACAGACAATGAATTTCCAAGGCGGAAGAGCTAATGCAGCAAAGAAATAAATACCTGCTGGAACTTATATAAATCATTATACTTCTCATGGAAATCCAAGTTCATAAGTTCCTTCTGAAGCCCTTCCAAGAAGTCTTGGCTTTGGATAAAGTTTGGGATCACGCAGTGAAGAAAAGGGTCCATGTCCATGACAACGGCTTCTGTTGGAAGGAAAACATTATCTATGGCTTTTTTTCCTTTCTTTTCCCAAGTTACTGTCAGACGCATTTACTGCCTACTGTACTTAAAAAAAAATCAGTTCAGTTCAGGCATAACCACTTCTAATTCCTTGATTTTTACCCCAACATTTATCCACTGCTTCTGGCTGGCTAGATCACCCTGCTAATCATCACCACCACCTACCAGGTCCCAGGCCCGGGGGTGCTTTACATGCATTAACTCGTTTAATCTTTTCAACAGCTCTAAGGGAGACATTATCACTCTCCCCATCCTACAGATAAAGAAACTGAGAGTACAGAGTTTGCACTTTAAACACTAAGCTATGGTTTCCCATAGGCATCCAGACCACCCAGGACCCTCCTCTTCAAAGCACTTGACAACAGAAAGAAAAATCACAGGAAACTCTAGAAGGGGATGCCTGGCACACAAAGCAGAGCTCCTATCACATAAGGTGATGTTTGAAGTTGGGGCTGGAATCGTTCAGCGCAGCCTCCCTTCCTTAGTCAACACGTGTTTATTTTCATACATCATGTAGTCAAATTATAGGCGCGTGAAGACAAGAAAACTCGGGAGCCGAGATGGCAGCTCATGGCAAATGGTCTAGCTAGACTCTCCTGGGACAGCCGAGCAATGCCCTTGCACGACAAATGACATCAACCACTCCCGTATTTGTCCAGACGTGTATTGGGCCTTACTCAGGAGAACATTTACTGAAGCCTGCAAGCATTAGCTTATTGCTTCCATTCACCGTCTTTCTGAGGTACATACTATTAACTATCGCATTTTACTTAGGAAGCAACTGAAGTTTAATAAAGTTAACTCCATTGCCCGGCGACGCCCAATCAGGGGAGAGGATTCTAGCTCGGTAATCTGAGAATCCAGAATGCAACTATCACTTGCCTACCCTCTGCTTCCCGAAACTCTCCGGCCTCCATTTCTCCCTCTTCTCAGGTTTCTAAATTCAAACCAAATTTGGAGTGAAAGAGAGCAGCAGCCGAGGCAGGAGGGTCCTCCAAGAGCCTCTTTCCTTGCTGCCCCGCTGCCAAGGTTCGAGTTCCAGGGCTTTTTCAGAGGTCCCCAGACCCCTGAGTGGCGGCCCCTCCCTGAGAGCACCCGGTTACCGTGACTGAATGGCGTCCTGCGGCTCCAGGCCTCAGCCACCTGCTTTTTCAAGGTTTCCTCCGTGACAGCGTCCGAAAATTCCGCCATCACCTCCTTCTTTCCCTTTTTTCCCACCCGGGCTGGGCCGGGCTCCGCAGGCCGCTTCCCATTCATCTCCTCCTAAGGTACAGAGCCAAGCCACTCTAATCAAGACGCTGCTTTCCTAAAGGGACTACAATTCCCGGCATGCCCCCTTCACCGTGTTCCCCAGCGCTACCCAAATGGAAGCACCAAAGTAAGAGGAGGCGGAACCTATGCCGGTTTACCAATGGGAGCTCCAGCTACTGCAGCCATCCCACTAGCGATTGGCCCAATGGCGCTCTGTCTGGCAGGCCGTAGCCTCTCTACTTCCTGCCGCCAGAGGCCCCAGGTTCACTTCCGGCGTGCCTACGCCTCCCATTGCGCTCTCCTGTTAATGGCGGGCGGTGGCCTCTGAGGGGGTCGGAGATAACCGCTTTGCGCTCGGGGAAGGTCTCCCCTGCCTCCCACTTTCTGCTCGTCGCTAGCGCCGGAGCTTGCCAGCATGTCTGTGGTACCGCCCAATCGTTCGCAGACCGGCTGGCCCCGGGGAGTCACTCAGTTCGGCAACAAGTACATCCAGCAGACCAAGCCCCTCACCCTGGAGCGCACCATCAACCTGTAAGTGCGGCGCGGCCTTGGCGGGCATTCCTCTCATGAGCGCTCCCAGAGGCTCTTCGGCGCGCCCCCGGCTTTTCGGCGCGCTTCACGCCTCTGCACCTCCCGCCTCCAACTCCCGCTGGCGGATGCGCGGCTTCCTCGTTCCCTGAGGCCCCTTTCTCATCCTCCAGCCTCAAAGTCCTTTTCTGAAAGGAAGGCTTGTTCCCATCCTCTGTGTTCAGTCAGATTGGGGAAAAACGGAGTTTGCTTTGAACTCATCCTTTCCCCACCTCTCCTGAGGTAACCAATTTCAAAATGTTTGTGTTTTTTAAATCCTTCCTGTGAAATGTTTATGCCCTCGCATCACGTATATGGTGTTGCCTTGTGTCGATGTGATACGAGTGGTATAAGCTAGTATCGTTTTTGCAGTTTTCACTCTGACACTAAGCTTTGAGATCTAGCTGTAATGCCTAAGTCTAGTGTTTTTCCTTTTAAGCGCTACCTAGTATTTCAGTTTATGAATACACCTCGTTTTATTCATGTGCCCAGGGCTCCCTGCCCTGCCCTTATGCCTTCATGTCTCAGCGCCGGTATCCCAGGCACCCCAGTAGGCTCCGCTTTGGGAGTAAGGATGCTGCCGTGGTTGGGCTTTCAGACTGAAGGGAACCAGAATATTTGTACCAGAAAACCCCACTGTGGGCTGTATTTTATTTTTATACCTTTTTGTTTCAACACTTCAAACCATTGCATTTCAAGGTCACCCTCAGAAGCAGCCTCGTTGTAGCAGGTAATTGACGTTTGGGGTAGGTCTTAATCAAGAAATTGTGAGTAATACTTTTTTTAAAATCGTTTCTGAAGATTTGTATTCGAGGCACCTTGGTGCCTCCATTTTCCTGATGGAGGAAAGTGGCCAGTTTATGCTAGTCAGGGTAGAAGTGCAAGGATATGCTGGTATTGATGTTTTTGTAAGACACTTTAGGTGTTTTTCTGTTTTACGTTAAAATAAATGGACTTTCTCTCCCCACCCGCAACCAAAAGTGATTTGAAGTTGGAAAGATGGTTAACATGGTTTTATTTTGCAAAACGTGTTGGCTTGGAAATTTAAATAATAGAAATGCTGGGTTTATAAAAACTGTAATTAGTTGATAGTTGTGTTTTTAAAAGTCCTCGGGCGTGGTGGCAGCTCACGACTCTAATCCCAGCACCTTGGGAGGCTGAGCTGGGAGAATCACTTGAGGCCGGGAGTTGGAGACCAGTCTGGGCAACATAGGCCATGTCTACAAAAAATTTTTTTAATTAAGAAAAAAATCAAACGGTAAAGGCAAATATTATCCTTCCTAGTGTGAAAACACAGCTTCTGGGTTACTTTTAGTGGTGATTAGCACTAAAACCCACAGTCTTTCTTTTGTTTTCTCTTTTGAATTAATTTGCACCAAACCATTTTGGAGAATTAAGTTGGAAAATAGCTTTCAGCACGATATTTTAATCTTTGCTCTATTAAAATTATGAGTTGATTTATAGTACATTTCCTCTCCTAAATACAAGTATTCCAAAATAATCATTGTGTTGTGAACTTCAGTTCACCTGAGTTAATATTAAGTTGAAAACAAATGCCCTCTCCCCAGTATATTTTCCTTTAGGAAATATTGCATGAATGCCTACTTTGTACCAGGCACTGTGCACAATACTGGATGTACAGCGGTGAGGAGGTAAGGTGTAGCCCCTGCTTTATGAAGCTTACAGTAGGATGAGAACAGTATGTGTCTGGGATGGCACTCTGATTTCACAGATGAAAATTCTGACATTTCATTTTGATGTCTCCTTACTGATACAGTGGAGCTGGCTCTTGTAACATAGATGTGTAATGGCTATCCTTATTCTTTCTAACTCAGGTTGTGAGAATTAAATGTTAATATATGTAAAGCGTTTTTAAAAAAATGCCTGGCACATCGTGCTGTGTAGCATATCTTCTGCTGCTACGGTTGATGGTGTTGGATTTAGCACTGGGTCTACTGGGGACGTTCTTTAAATCTTTAAAGCATCCTGGAAATGGTATTTTTAATTATTTTAGAGCTTTTTTGTATGCCTAGAACTTGCCATCTGGAAAAGTAATTTTTAAAGTTTTGGCAACCTTGATTTGTTCCCCGTTCAAGAATGGCTAAGTGGAGTAGATACATTAATGTTGACTATTCATGTCAAGGGCTTTTGGTAGAATAGATACCATGGATGAGCAAATGCGGCCTAAATTCTTACCTAAAGGCCTCTTGCTGTAAGGTTTTAATCAAGGGGTTACAACATATAAGTAGGAAATTTTTAACTATCTTTAAAGAAAAATTTGATCTTTATTAGGCAAGATGAAAACTGTCTTTAACAGTATGAGCCATATTTTAAATTCTTGGTAAAGGAAGAGGTTATTGGATTAGATACAGTGGGTAGAAGATTCAAATGAGGAAAGGGAACAATAAGGACACTGAATAGAATAAATGCTGAAGGCTAGTAGGGCTTCATAATAGGTTTAGAGGACAAAAAGAGAAAGTAGAAGGGTTGCTCTGAAAAGTAAAGGCTGTGGTGCCAGAAAAATCTGAGGATAGTTGACTGAGATAAATAGAAAATAACTGGAGGGATGTCAATGAAAAGTGGTGGCCTAGTTTTAGAAAAAAGCGATTAGCCATTAGCACACACAGTTAAAACTCTCTGATGAGATTAGTAGTCAGAGGAATCCAGGGGGACATTAATTATGAGCCAGATTGGTAATGTTGGGATAGCAGCCGTGGTCTAAAACCAGAGAATTACTAATGACCAGATAACCATTTCTCTAAGCATTTAAGTATAGTGTTATCTACACTTGAAAGTTAAAATAAGGAGTAGCAGCCTGATCTAATGGAAGCTCTGGCTTTAAGAGTTCAGACAGCAAGATTCTAATCTCTGTTGTCTCATTAACTTTTGTTACGTAACTGTACAAATCCTATGTCTCTGAGTACAACATATGCACTTTTTTTGTACCATGGTTTCTTTATGCTAATGTCTGTCATGGTAAATTCCATTCTTGAATTCTCATGTTAGATGTTTGTCTTTGGATCACAGGTACCCTCTTACCAATTATACTTTTGGTACAAAAGAGCCCCTCTATGAGAAGGACAGCTCTGTTGCAGCCAGATTTCAGCGCATGAGGGAAGAATTTGATAAAATTGGAATGAGGAGGACTGTAGAAGGGGTTCTGATTGTACATGAGCACCGGCTACCCCATGTGTTACTGCTACAGCTGGGAACAACTTTCTTCAAACTGTAAGTAGTGTTGGAAATTAACAGCAAGACAGTTTTTAATAGGATTGCTGTTTATGCAGCTCTGGAATACAGTTTTAGCCCTCAGTCATTTATTTCAAGAAACTGCTGTTAATGGTATCTTCAGAAAGAGAAAATCACAAATAATTTTCCTCCATTGCAGTGCTTATTTATTTTCCTAACTAGTAATCTGTGCGCTTCTGTATGTTGTTGATGTTAATGATTGAACTTGGTAGAAACTCTGGAATAGTTGAGTCTAAGATCAATGTCTAGATGTCATCGTAGCATTATCAAGAACAATTGATATTTCTTTCTTGGTATGATTGGCATTTCCTATTCTTAAGAAGACTTAGGTTTTTATAGGTACCAGTTTAGTTTTATCATTTAAGCTCCTAAATCTCTCAAACATTTGATCCACAACTATTTTACTAGATTATACCAAAAAGAAAGGTCTCAAATACTTAGATGACATTCTTGAAAAAGTGTCCCATTCTTCAGACCTGAAGAATGTGATCCATTCTTCTCTGGGCATTTCTAGACTCCAGTATCATCAGATAGCTTCCAGAGAGAACACTGGGATGGTCTGGTGGTTAGCAATTTTGTTTATGCTATGTTAAATATTCTGTTTAAAACTAGGGTTTATGTAATGGGTACACATGGACATAAAGATGGAAAAAATAAGCACCGAGTACTTCAAAGGTGGGGAGGGTTAAGGGGATGTGAGGGTTGAAATACTTCCTGTTGGATGCTCTGTGGGTTCACTGTTTCGGTGATGGGTTCACTGGAAGCCCAAACCTTAGTTTTATTACACAATATACCTATGTAACAAACCTGCACATATACCCCTTGAATCTACAATAAAATAAATATATTCGAAGAGTGAAAAAACTCAGCATTTGTATACTGTTAGTCTAGGGAACTGACATGAATTCAAGCGTGTTCTTCCCCTTCACTTTGATATTTGTTTTGATGGCCTTATTACACTGCAATGTATGTTACTTAGTGACTTGATAGAAATAACAATTATTGTGTTTTTTCTTATGTTCCAATTGTATTAAGTTGAAATCTGAAATTCTTACCCTTTATACAGACCTGGTGGTGAACTTAACCCAGGAGAAGATGAAGTTGAAGGACTAAAACGCTTAATGACAGAGGTATTTTTCTGTTTAACCACTTTAAATACCATCAACTTAATAATTTGGTTTTTAATGTCTTGTAAGGGTGTTTGTTTTGGAATATTTAGTTTTCAATAAATACAACTTAAACCCCAGAATGTTAGTACAATGTTTATTTTTTTTACAAGTTGAACTTATAATTATTTCCATTTTTAAAATGTTAAACTATGTCATAGCAATGATAAATAAAAATTGACATTTGATTATTGTGTTAGACACGTTCTAAGTGCTTTACATGCAGTAATTCCTCTAATCACCACCACAATTCTAGGAAGTAGATATTAAGTTTAAATTACTAATTGTTATATAACTAGTGTGGTAGATCTGGAGGTTTGAATGCAGGTAGTTTTGTTCAAGAGTAGGCCTCTAGAATTTTGACAAGAGAACGATGCCTGTGTTTTCACTTTTCCCACATATGTTTTAGACTTTGCCCAAATTATTCTACTTTTTAAAAATCATTTTAATGTCTGCATGTAAAGATTTGGGGCCAAATGCATAGATACCGGAGGCTTATGAGATTGTAAATTGTTTTCAATATTAGTTTTCTTCTTTTGCCGCCTGCCCCTGTTACTCATATATTCTCTGTGCAAAAACTCATATATTTTCTGTGCAGAAGTTTGGCAAACACAGAAATGCAGAGGAGAAACAAAACTGAAATCACCTGTAATTCTCCCACTTTTGACCTGTTGGTTTGTCTTTCTAGTATTTCTAAATATGTATTGTAACTCTTAAACATTTTGCTGTGCTTGGACTTTCATTTATGTGTGGTACAAAGATATAAATCCAGTAGGATTGATGGAGTGCAAAATGAGCGAATCACAAAAGTAAAATTTTTGGAAACTGGAAAACAAATGGGCAAATTATAACTAATTTAGCAGAAACCTTAGTCTAGCACAGAGGCAGGCAGAATCCAGCACTGCAGAGTACCAGAATGGCTGAGGAGCCCAAGGTGCTAAGTACTTACGAAAGTGGGTGCATGCATGGGCTAAAAACGGGACTGGTTCAAAGTATATATGGAGGGTATTTATACAGATTGAGTATTCCTTATCTGAAAGTTTGGGACCAGAAGTGTTTAGCTACTGTTTGATAGCATAACAGGGTGACTACAGTCAGTAATCATTTATCATACATTTTAAAATAACTGAAAGGGTACAATTGGATTGTTTGTAACACAAAGGATAAATGCTTGAGGGGGTGGGTATCCCATTCTCCATGATGTGAATATGATGCATTGCATGCTTATATCAAAACATTTTGTATACCCCATAAATATATACATCTGTGTACTCACAAAAATTAAAAATAATAGTAGTATTTTTTTATTTTTTTCAGTGTTTTTGGAATATTTCATTATACTTGCTAGTTAGATATCCCATATTCAAAATTTGAAATGCTTCAATGAGCATTTCCTTTTTTTTTGAGACCAATTCTCCCACTTGTTGCCCAGGCTGGAGTGTAATGCAATCTTGACTCACTGCAACCTCCCCTTCTGGGTTCAAGCGATTCTCCTGACTCAGCCTCTCCAGTAGCTGGGATTACAGGCACCTGCCACCACGCACACTAATTTTTGTATTTTTAGTAGAGACAGGGTTTCACCATGTTGGCCAGATTGGTCTTGAACTCCTGACCTTAGGCTATCTGCTCACCTTGGCCTCCCAAAGTGCTAGGATTACACGCATGAGCCACAGCACTTGGCCCGAGCATTTCCTTTGAGCATCATGTCAGTGGTCAAAAGGTTTCTGATTTTTTATTTGGAGTTTCATATTTTGGATTTTGGAGCTTAAGATTGGGATGTTCAACCTGTGTATCTAGATTGTCTTAGCCACTCTGTAATTAGGCAAAGACTGGCTGATGATTAATTCTCTGTAATAATTGCATCAGAGAACACATAGCAATGAAAAAAGTTTACGGTATGGGAAGAATAAGCAAGAGTTCCCATTCTGAATAGTCAGACTCTTGGACTTCTACTAGGCTGACAGAATATTAATAATTAGGCTTATTTATTTTCTGAGACGGAGTTTCGCTCTTGCCCAGACTGGAGTGCAGTGGTGCCGTCTCCAGTGTGATCAGTGGTTGCTCACTGCAACTTCTGCCTTCCAGGTTCAAGTGATTCTCCTGCCTCAGCCTCCAAAGCAGCTGGGATTATAGCTGCCCACCACCACACCTAGATAAATTTTGTATTTTTAATAGAGTCGGGGTTTTGCTGTGTTGGCCAGGCTGGTCTTGAACTCCTGACCTCAGGTGATCTGCTCGCCTCGGCATCCCAAAGTGCTGGGATAACAGGTGTGAGCCACTGCACCTGGCCTAGGCTTATTTATTTTTTTAAAGACAGGGTCACTCTGTTCCTCATGCTGGAGGACAGTGGTGTGATCATAGCTCACTGAAACTAGAAACTCCTGGGCTTAAACAATCTTCTTGTGTCAGCTTCCTGAGTAGCTAGGACTGTAGGTATGTGCCTGGGGCTAAAAAAATTTTTTTTTGTGGAGATGAGATCTTGCTGTGTTGCCCAGGCTGGTCTTAAACTCCTGGCCAGAAGCAGTCCTCCCATCTTGGCTTCCCAAAGCATTGGGATTACATGCGTGAGCTACCAGGCTCAGCCAACAATTAGGTTTATATATCCCAGGCTGAGGGTTGGAAATCTTGTTTCTAGAAAAAGGGACCAGTCCAAGAAGAACTTCAGATACTGCCATTTGGGAGCTGTCTTAGCCTGTTTAATGTTGCTATAAAAGAATACCTAAGGCTGGGTAATTTATAAAGAAAAAGATTTATTTGGCTCACCAGTTCCAGTGGCAAGATTGGGCAGCTGGTGAGGGCTTTATGCTGCTTCCACTCATGGCCGAAAGCAAAATGGAAGTGGGCATGTACAAAGAGATCACATGGCAAAGGAGGAAGGAGTGAATCCAGGAAGCCACACTCTTAACAACCCACTCTCCAGGGAACTAATCCATTCCTGCTGGAGGAAAGGTATTAATCTATTCATGAAGGATCTGCCCCCATGACTGAGACACGTTACACTAGGCCCTACCTGTCAACACTGTCACATCAGGGATCAAATTTCAACATCGAGTTTGGGGCCTGGGAGACAAACCACATCCAAACCAAAGCAAAAGTTTTCTATAGAAGTAGTGTAGTCCTGTCATTCATGCACACAGAGGTGACAATTAAGTGTCTTGTTGCTTCTCCCTTGTGAGCACGCAACCAAATATCACCAGGCTTTTGGAGAAAACTTAACAAGAAAGAGATCAAAAGAAGCAAAAGGACCTCAACAGAAGCAGGAAATTCAACCATTGACAAAAACTATGATTAATATTCTTGGTGAGGTAAGAGGAGATTTTGCACCTATGAAATGGTGCTGTTAAAAAGACATTTTAGCCAAGAAAACCCTCATAGATATTTTTAACAATGTTGGAAGAAATGAAAAATTCAGTAAAGAGTTAAGTTTCATTCTACCAGAAAATAGAATGAAAAGATAAAAAGAATGTCGGTAAGAAAAGATAAAATTATTGGATCACTCTAGAAGGACCAATATAAACTATAGATAAATAGAACAGAGGAAAAGGAAGATTTAGCGTAATTAGAGAAAATTTCTCAAACCTCAAAGGACATGAGTTTTGAGATTGAAAAGACCTATTGGCCTTGCCTCTATACTGAATGTTTAAAGATCCATGCAAAGGCGTATCATCATGAAATTCAGATCAGCAGAAGATCCTGGAAACAAAAATAAAAACAAAAAGATCCTAAAAGTTTCCAAAGTGGGAGGTGGAGGATTGGTAAGCAGAGAGGTTAAATGTAAAACCTCAAGTTCAGAAATGGCATTGAACTACTGGGAAATAATACTGGATGCTAAAAGATGATGAAGTATTCTCTTTGTAAGAGAGAATATGATCTCTGTACTAGAATTTTCTAATCAAACTATAAATCAGGTGTGTTGATAAAGGTTATTTCTAGACGTGTGAAATTTCAAAAAGTTACATTTCTTGTACCTTTTCTCAGGAAGCTGCTAGAGGGTGTTCACCCCCAAAATGGAATAAAATAAGAAAGAAGATAGAGAATTTAGAGTATTAGGATCTAACAACATAGGAGAGGCCAAGAGAAACCTAGGACTGTAGTTGTGAAGCAGGGTTGAGAGTATCAAGTACAAATTGCAGCAGGTTGACCAAAAAACATGTCTTAGGCTGGGCACGGTGGCTCATGCCCGTAATTTCAGCACTTTGGGAGGCAGAGATGAGCAGATTACCTGAGCCCAGGAGTTTGAGACCAGCCTTGGCAACATGGCAAAAAATTAGCCGGGTGCGGTGGCGTGCACCTGTAGTCCCAGCTACCCTGGAGGCTGAGGTGAGAGAAGCGCCCATGAGGCAGAGAGAGGTTACAGTGAGCGGAGATCACGCCATTGTGCTCCAGCCTGGGTGAAAGAGTGAGATATTGTCTTAAGAAAAACATGTCTTAGAAAAGATGATACCAATAGAATAACTGACAATTGATATTTGAATTGGGAAGAAATTTAAGTTCTTGTGGAGAATGTGGGAAATGAATTTAGTGATAGCAAAGGAAATGAAAGTTATTAACTAAAGAACAGGATAGTTGAACAAGTAAGGAGATATGGTTGCTCTATTGTGACTGATCAACCTGATCGTACTAACTTAAATACTGACTATTGACTTAATTTAATATTGATAATGGGAAGATGGTGGAAGAAAAATTAGGATGTGATTTTAATATCTAAATTCTCATTCATGGTAGAGTGTTATAGGTTTTTAAAAAATGTTTTTAGAATGAAAATCAAGAAACTGTCATAAAGGAATATTTTGGCTGGGCATGGTGGCTCACTCCTGTAATCCCAGTGCTTTGAGGGACTGAGGCAAGAAGATTGCTTGAGGCCAGGAGTTACAGTGTACCATGATTGCGTCATTACGCTCCAGCCTGAGCTACAGAGCAAGAGCCTATCTCTTAAAAAAAATGGTTTTGAGGCCCAGGCGCAGTGGCTCGCAGCTGTAATCCCAGCACTTTGGGAGGCCGAGGCGGGTGAATCATCCGAGTTCAGGAGTTTGAGAATAGCCTGACCAATGTGGTGAAACCCTGTCTCTGTTAAAAAGACAAAAATTAGCCAGGTGTGCTGGTGCATGCCTGTAGTCCCAGCTACTTGGGAGGCTGAGACAGAATTGCTTGAACCCGGGAATCAGAGGTTGCGTGAGCCGAGATCGCCCCATTGTACTCCAGCCTGGGCAACAAGAATGAAACTCCATGTCAAAAAAAATAGTTTTGAAAAATATGACTTTTCATTGGAGAAACCGGATAAAAAGTACCTCAGGCAGGTGATCAGGATTGGCATTCGTGATAAGCATATTGATGTGGTACCCATGATATGATGTGGTGAGAATGGTCCTTTTATTTCTGTGGTTTTCTTTGTCAAAGCTCGTAACCTCAATTTAATTGAGGAACGTTTTACAAAATACTTGAGCGGTATTCCTCAAAACTATCAAGATCCTCAAAAATAAGGAAAGTGTGAAAAGTTGTCACAATGTAGAGGAACTTTGGAAGAAATGATGATTAAGTCTAATATTATCTTAGATGGAATCCTGGGACTGAAAAATGAAAAAGGACATTCGATTTAAAGACTGAGGATATCTGAAAAATATATGGATTTCAGTTAGTAATCTTGTCTTAGTTTCACAAATGTGCTTTACTAATGTGAGATGTTAACAATAGGGGAAATCGGGTGTGGGGTATATGGAAAGTCTTTGTACAATTTTTGCAAGTTTCCTGTAAATCTAAAACTATCCTAAAATAAACCATTTATTTAAAACCAAAAAGAATGCTTTTAAAAATAGAAGCAAACATCAGGGGGAAAACAACAAATAGTTCAAAGTTATAGCCAGGGGGAATGGCAGGTCAGAGAATTGCAGTTTCTCATCATTAACATTTTGGAACTGTTTTTGGCCACTTAAAATATGTAGAGTATGACTTTGATTAAAATAAGTTTGATGTTCTATACAAATTAATAAAAATGAAAATTGAATTTTGAACATAATTTTTATGTTGATACTAGCTTGCCAATTTTGAACTAATAGTGTATGTCTTGGGCAGAGTGACATCTATTATAACAAATTGTAGAGAGGAAATCTGTATGGAAGGCATATTATCCCTATGTCTCTCTAATTTTTTGTTCACTGAAGAAGGGGATTCATGAGTACATGAATTGTATTTAGTTGTTTACTGGCTATATTATTTCTTTCTGACAGATACTGGGTCGTCAGGATGGAGTTCTGCAAGACTGGGTCATTGACGACTGCATTGGTAACTGGTGGAGACCAAATTTTGAACCTCCTCAGGTCAGTGTTCAGTTATGTTTGCTGGGCATTTTGGAAGTAGGAAGTTCATTTAATTCTAGCCACTTTAAAAAAGATTAAAGTAGAATTTGACTTGAAATTTTCTTTTCTTCCTTCGTTAATTTAAAATAAAAGATTAAGCCAAGCACTTCTTATGTTCAAGGAAAATGTAAAACAAATACCAGGCTAGGCGAGGTGGCTCATGCCTTGAATCCCAGCACTTTGGGAGGCCGAGGTGGGTGGATTGCCTGTTGAGGTCAGGAGTTGGAGACCAGCCTGGCTAACATGGCACAACCCCATCTCTACTAACAAATACAACAATTAGCTGGGTATGGTTGTGCAAGCCTGTAATCCCAGCTACTCAGGAGGCTGCGGCAGGAGAATTGCTTGAAACCCAGGAGGCAGAGGTTGCAGCGAGCCAAGATGGTGCCACTGCACTCCATCCTGGGCAGCAGAACGAGATTCCTACTCAAAAAAATAAATAAATAGAACAAATACAAAAGAAGAGAGAATAGTAAAAGTGAATGAATTGTGCTACCCGTCATCCATGTTTAACAGCATATCACAACCCCTCTTTCCACCGCTCCATTCTACTGCCATCATCTTGGATTATTTTGAAGCATATCCTGTCATTTCAATTGTAAATATTTCAGTGTGAATCATAAAAGATAAGGATCTCTCTAAAAACATAACCATAGTACTGTCATTATCACACTAAAAATAATTCTATATTATTGTCAAATGTTCACATATCCTGATTATTTCAATTTTGTTTTTATAATTTGCTTGGATTAGGATAGTCTCTTAAGTCTCTTTTATACCTACAGGTTGGCACCTATCTTTTTTTTCCTTTGTATTTTATTTGTTAATGAAAACAGGCTAATGTTTCCATTCCGATTGCATTCCCCTGTTGTTGAGTATGTAACTATTTCTCCTGTGTGTAAATTGATAGTTAGATCTAGAAATTGTATTCAAGCTCAGTTAATTTGGGGAGCGGTAACAAGGCTTGTCATAGGTGGTATATTATTTATCTATTGCTGCATAACAAATTATCTCAAAATTTAGCAATCTTTAGGCCTCTGGGAGTTGCTTCGGGTGGTTCTGGCTTAGGCTGTCTCAAGAAGTTACAGTCAGGTTGTCAGCTGGGATTGTATCATAAGGCTTAACTGGGGCTAAAATATCTGATCTCGAGCTTATACGTGTGTGTGTTAGCAGACTTCTCAGTTTCATCTGGGCTGTTAGACTAAAGCTTGGCTTCAGGTATTGCTGGCTGTTGTCTCGAGGTTTCCCTCAGTTCCTTGTCATGAGAACATCTCCAAAAGGACAACTCTCAAGCAGCTGGCTTCCCCCAGGCTGTGTGATCCAAGAGATAGTGAGAGACGGAGTGCTAGAGAGAGTACCCAAGTAGGAAGTCTCAGTCTGTGATAACCTTATCTTGGCAGTGGCATACTATCACTTCTGCTGTCTGCTATTGGTCACACAAGCCAAGCCTGGTACGTTGTAGGGGAGAGGACTACACAAAGCAGTGAATACCAGGAGACAGGGATCATTGGAGGTCATCTTAAGGCAGTCTACCACAGGTGGTATAGTGTACTTCCATCAGGAATTTAAAAATATTTGGTTGTCTCTTTTTGTTATGTTAGCAGCTCATTGATTATCATTTCCTGGTCTATGAATTCATAAGGGTTGTGATCCTCATATAAAAATAAACTCATCAACTGCGATGTATGGTTTGTGTAAAAAAAAAAATACAT